AATTATACAATCAATATCATATACCTTTATCAAAGTAACGTTCGTTGCTCACCTAAAGCATTAAATTCCTATTGCAAACTACAAGCACCAACTTTTTCATTTTTCAAACCATTAGCATCAACATTTTCATGTTTTAAAGCATTAACATCAACTTTTTCATTCTCTACACCACTACAATCAACTTCGTAGATTCAAATCTTAGACACGTAGAAGGCTTTTCTCGAGGATGATTTTTAATTCGTCCACTTTTATGATTATAATTAAGTCTTTTCTTGAAAAATAAATCAATTGTTTTTAACTTTCTCTTAATGAATTGATAAATTCCTAAAACAATCAAATAAACTAATAATGCTAATTTTTATATTACAAAAGAGAAATTTTAAATTAATGCAAATAAACTTAATATATATCAATAGTATTAGGGTTTATCCTATATATGATCCCTATACTATTCTATTTTTTTTATTAAGACCACTTACTTTTTTTTTACTTGATTAAAACTATCTACTCTTACATTTTTTTTATTCGGACCCTCAAATATTCATTTGACCCGACATTTCCAACAAATGTCTATTACAATTTGGCAATTTTATGTCATTATTATTAATTTACATAATTTTTCCTAAATTATAGATTTTTGAAAAACTCGTTATTGAAATTTCCTAATCCTTGTTATTTGTAATGATCAACTCAATTGATCGTTATGCAAAATACATAACAAACATCGTTTAAGCATTTCGATGTTGATTTTAAAAAAATAAAATTTCACAATTAAAAGGGTAAGATAGATGAATTCTTATTGTGAATCGAGGAGAGAGAGACAAGTGAGAGAGTGAAATAGAAGACTTAGCCATCAATTATTTTCTCTCAATAAAATTGAAAGTGATAGAGAGTGAGAGACTAGGTTAGGGTTCATGAGAGAGTGAATTCGGGTAATTTTCAACTATATTAAGGTAATCTTCGAAAGTTTGTTGTCTTTTTTATCATCTTTTGATTTTAGGGTTTTGTCAATAAATGAAAAAGTAGTGGTCATTTTATTTTGTTGTTTGTGTTTGGTCAAAATTATCAATGAAATGTCGAATTCAACCTTACTATTGTGTATTAAAATAAGAGTTTGTTTGAAATCCCAACTTGAAGTACATTGTGGTGTTTGTGAAATTAAATTAGTTGACATTGATTATTTTTTGTTTCGGCCTTGAAATAAATTATTAACGAGTTAAGAGTGTGTTGATCTTAAAAAGATACATTGTAGAGTTTTGAAGAATGGTGATAAAAACTCAATTAATATGTATGTATGATGAAGAGTCTTTTTTTCATATTTGGATAATTTTCTTAAGGGAATATGAAGTTTTTTATGGAGGGTACGAATAATTTAGTGAAAGATAAGAATACATTGGCTAACCTTGATGATGGTGGTGCCAGTGTGGTCCAAGAACAAAATATAAGGATAAATATGCATGTTAATGGTAGGACTTGTAAGGAAAGTAATGGTATTAGGCTTATTGATGTTGTATTTTGTTTTTGACAATTAGGGTATTTATACAACTAGTAGAGAAGCATAATATAATAATGTAGATGGTTATAGTGGGGAACATAGGTGGCATGACACCATCTACATTATGAGATATGCTTTTAAAAATATTGAGGTTGGACTTATGTCGGATGACATCAAGAGAATAGATGGTGATAATGCAAAGGGCAACAATAGGGGGCTAGACAATGAAGAGGGAGAAATTAGTGAGTATGGTTCAAAAGATAATAGAGATGATTATGATAGTGTATTAGAATTGGATGATAATGCGGAATTGATTGATATGCCAAGTTTACTAACAAAGATGAAGAGTTACTTGCTGCTGAGAATAACTTTATAGAGTTGGGATGGTCAAGGAGTAAAAAAAAAAAAAAACATATTGCTATTGTCCTCGATGCACCACTAGTTGATGAACAATTCTCTATAATTCATGAATTTTTGCGGACTTGTTCTTCAATTATGTAGAATTTAAATTTCCGTAGAATTGATGAACAATTTTGTTGAATTCAAGAATTTATATATAATTGTTCTTCAATTCTGCAAAGTTAGATAGGCCAATTATCCGTACTTTCTCTTTGTCTTTTAATCATTTAACATCAACTATTCCATATCAATAATTTTAACAGATCACCACAACAATAGATTAATATCCATAACATTCCACATTAAATTATAATTTACAAAATACCCAAATTTCCAACATCAATAGTAACATTAAACTACTACATTTGTTGCCTAACAACAACATTGTTATTCCATATAATTCTAAATCCATCAATTACGGAAAATTACAAACTTGTAAAATGAACAAAACCCATTCATCAAACCTAGTCAACATTGATCTAATCTTAGTAACATCTTATTTAACCACTAATAAGCACACTAACATCATAATCAATGCAATCAAACAACCAAAACAAGTGTTATATTTAAAAATTTTATTCTCTTTTGGTCTTCATTATCACTCGGTAATCTTCTCTCTTAGAACCATATTTTCTTTAAACAAACACTTATTCTCTACATCCGGCCTCTTTTCAATATACTTTAAAATATTAATTACATTTCTTTCTCTTTCTCTAATTATCGGATCTTAAAATTGAAAGTAATTGTATTTTTTACTTCCATCTTGTTCATTGAATTTGGGGCATGTAAAAAATCCCGTGCTCGGATCATTATCACTCTATGAAGTCTATCAAGGAGGTGGGAGGCTACAATTATATTATCTCATTAGAGAATCATTGAGATAATCATACTGAGGTTTTTGAATGAAGAAATATTTTTCACATTAGAGAGTTTTGCATTTGATGATTTAGAAGAAGAAGAAATAGGAACCCATGACTTATCTTTATCACGGTTGAATTTTGAAGTAGATAACAATAATTGTAAAAAACCTAACTCACTCTCTATCTCCAATTCACTTCAATTGCTAAAAACCTAATTGAAATCTCTTTATTAAAGTTGAAATTTAAAGAAGTCACAAAATTAACCAAATATCTAAATCACTCTAATAGTATCTCCTCCCTCCTAATTTCGTGATCTTAAATCAATCTAACATTCTCTCCCCCCCCCCTAATTCTATACATTTAGTTTTTTTAAACATTTTTTTAATTTAAAACCAAAATGCTTAAATATTGTTATTTAATCACATAGCGGCCAACTAAGTCGACCATTACGGATAACGAAGATTAAAGAATTTAGATAATTACTTAAAAAATTGATAATTTGAGATTCAAATTATACAAATTGATTATAAAAACTTGAAGTTATCAAATTACAATTGAATGAGTGTAATTTTTGCCATTATACCACGTTAACAATACATTTTATAAGTAATTTTTCTTTTTTCAAACAAGTTTGAGAGGGGGTCTATGGTCCATGCATCTCTCCATTATCCTTCGCCCTTGCTTAAGAGGTTCTTCTCCTTCCATCCAATTATCCATCCAAAACCACACTAGACAACCATTACCCATAGACCAACCCGATCCCGCAATTACTTCACACCACACTTTACAAATAGCTTTTTAATAGTTTCGAACTCTTCACTCTCACAATAGGAATCATGACATTATTATACATATATTTTCCATACAATATTAAGACCCACAACCTGTTCTAATCATTTACGAGTACCCCATTCAAGTTTCATAATCAAAGCTTCATTCATGCCACGCATATTAGGAATGCCAAATCCTCATTTACTCTTTGGATGACAAATAATATTCTATTTTACCGAGTGAGTTTTCCTTTTATCTAGACCATCTCTCAAATGAAATGTCCGTAAACTTTTTCAATATTATAACAAATAAATTCGAAAGCATGGTAGTTTGCATACAATAAAGGGGAATAATCATTAAAACAAACTTAGAAAGAGTAATCCTCCCAGCTAACGAAAGATTATTGAGCTTCCATTCCGAAAGACAATTCTAGAGTTGCCCTAATAAAGATTCATAAGTTTGTTTATTAATTCGCTAGTGGAGAAGAAGGAGAAGAACACAAAGATACTTGCCAAGGTCATCCATCCTTCCAAAACCACATCTATTACTAATAGATGCTGCCATAGAGCTAGACATGTTTCTAAAAAATAACATCTTAGTTTTAGAATTGCTCACTTTTTGGCCGGAAGACGAACGAAAACGATTCTAGTAAGCAATCTTTTCAACTCGATCCATCAATGCTTCTACAATTACTAGCGTATCATTGGAAAACAAAGGGGGAGATATTTGGTCCATCCGTACTAATTCTAAATGGAAGTCAACGCCCATCAACAATGGCAACTTTAATCGAATGAGATAACCTCTCCGGACAAAGGACAAAAATATGTCGAGAAAACGAGATCACTTTAGCGCATACCCCTCGAAGGAGTAAAACTAGAAGAAAAGAGTCATTTCGGAGAATTTGCAAAGAGAAAGTCTTTATACACCGTGGCATGATCAACTCAATTAAGCTCCCTAGAAAATCAGCATCACAAAGGGTGTCCCGAATAAAATCCCATCTTAACTTGTCATACGCCTTCTCAATATCCAACCTTGATAGCCATATAACTCCTCTTCTCCTTCAAACTACTCATTGAGTGAATAATTTTTTATATAATAAAGATATTATGACTTATATAAAACCTTGTATAGGTTCTCTATTACCTTATACTTAATTAGAAGAGAAAATAAAAATAACGAGATTCGAATCTGTGATCATTTAGATATCATGGATCTAATACTATGTGAAAAAACTATCTTAATCTAAAAAGTTAAGCTATTAGATAAGATTCTAAAAATGGTTATATATTATTCTTTAATAATTAATAATCAATTTTGTTACAATCTTGAAATTCATACCACACAAATTGATAGGTCGAAACTGGTGAATATACTATGGCTTAGCTATTTTAGGAATGAAAACAATAAGATTCTGATTAACGGTGCTCAAGATTTTTTCTCCACCCTCCCTCTAATAAAAGCATAAACCGAGTCTCCTACCACAAACCATTGAGACGAGAAAAATAAGGCTGGTAACCATATGTTTCATGAGATTTAAAAGCTTTCATGTCAAATAAAATTTTCCTAATCTCCTCATCAATAGGCGAAACAATGAGAAAGTCAACGAGAGAAGAGTCAAGAACTGGAAGCACACCTCTAATAGGAAATTCAAGCGCTCTATTAACATCTTTAATGTAAAAAGTTTGATAAAAATTCAGCGTCTAAATCGTTCAAATCCCAACATCACTGATTAAGATCATCTTTCAGAGCCTGAATCATATTCTTTTTACTCGTATGAATTCCTGTCACCAAATTGAATCCATTGACATCTAGATTTTTTGAACCAATGAATTTCTTCTTGGGCAAGAATCTGATTGAATTCCTCAGCTAGTTCGTTCCAATTTAATAAGGAAAAGATTTTCTTTAACTAAGATAGCCCTTTGAACCCTCACAAGTCTAGCCAATATGTTCTTCTTGTGCTGAAAAATATTTCCAGAGGCTGTTTTATTCCAAACCTACAGCCTGGTCTTAAACTTTGACAAAGAGGAAACCAATTCCAAATCTACATTTCCAAAAATTGATGAAATTAGAAAAAAATTGAATGAGTAGCACTAAATGCTTCAAAGCAATACGACCTATAACCATATTACCTCCGATTATGGTCAAAACCATAAAGAGCAAGAAAAATAGGATGGTGATCAGATTGAATCCACGAAAGCAATTTAACACAAGCCTCAGGAAAATTCAATCGCCATTCCTTGTTACGAAAAGCTCAATCCAGCCTTTCATAAACGCTCTTATAGCCTCTACTCTTCGGACCATGCTAAGTCGATTTTGATCCTAAACTTTCTCGCTCGATCAATCAAACCACAACAAACCGTAAACATCACCTCAAATCTACTACTTTAAGTCACCAATAATCATCCATGAGTTAGTGATAGACTTACGTAGACGATCTATTTCAATAAAAAATCACGTATAAGATGAAATTTAGGATTCACATAAACAACAGTGCACAACCAACTCTTCCTTTTGGACGACTCCTCCTGCATGTGAATGACATATCTTAAGGACCTAAATTGGTATGATTCTTCTTCCATAACACCTGCAAACCGCCCAACTTGCCTCTAACTTCAACATTGTACACATAATCAAAACCAAACTTATCTATAACCTTATTCGGGACCTCCTCACTGATTCTTGGTTCAGAGATGATAGCCACATCAACACTGTTGAGACTCTCATCAAATCCTTAAATATAGAAATAAAGTACTCATTGATCCTCTCACGGCAATTCTAATAGATAATTCGTATTATAAAAATTAGCGGATTGAAGAAGAAATCTCTTGACATTATTAAAACATATTAGCAAATATAGGAGCTTCACCTCTCATGGCCATATCATCACCTATACAGAAACCCTCAACATCTCTAGATGAAGTCATCAGTAGATTTGGACCAATATCAGAGTTGTCAATAAGCATAGAATCATCGATCTAGAGGCTTGAAATCATAATGGTTCACATTAGAAGAACTTGGATTCATACTTGAAAATAGTTGAGGCTTAAGCGTATCAGTAAAGAAGGAAGCACCATGAGTATGGACTTTGCCCGTTCATTTCTTATATCGTTTGGTTCCTCTTTTTCAATCAACTTCTCTCCTCTTTTGTAATCTGCATAGAATCTTCATTTAATCCCTATAACGTAACAAAGTGGAATTCTTCAGGATTTACTAACTCCATGATACCCGTTTTACCATGAGCATTCAAATTGTTTCCATTTGTAGAAACTTGTCTAAGATCTTGACGGTCAGGCTTCTTGTAGAACCTTCTTGCTGGTTTCTAAGCAATCGTGCATTAACCATGAGTTTTAACTGCCTCTCGTCGAAAAGTAAGCTCTTGAACTGGGATCGGACCAGAAGGTCTATCTTGTTCAGCTTCCAAATCAACCACCTCTTCTGAGTTTTGAATCTTGTTGGGCCATAATTTCTGTTTATGTCCATTCGTTTACCCATAACCTTAACCATTATAGTTTCCCTCTAGTGTTGACGAATCCTACGTTTCTCTCCGCAGACAACAGGATCGCAAACTCCTTCTCATCCTCAGACACACTCGTCTTCCAAATCCTTCGATTGTTGATCAGTAGCAAAAACACCTATCAACGTGTCTTTATAAGAAAATTGATTAAAAAACTCAAGGTTACTATTCGGAGAATTCTCAATCCTTGTGCCTAGAATAGGACCACTACGAGAAGCCTCTACAATCTCTTCAGTATAGATTTAAATGTTTTTAGTAGTTACAGAGAAAAGTCGCCATATGTATTACTTGAAAGTCGTCTGAAAGCCAAAAATTATAAAACGAAACCTTTGGAATTTTGAATCCTAACATAAAAATATTTTAATAGCTAATATTGTTACAGCCAAAACAATCGTAAGATTCAATTTCACAAAAAAAAAAAAAAAAAGGAAGAAGAAGAAGAAGGATGACGACGACAATTTTTATATGAAAACAACTCTCGTTCAAAGCATAGTTATCAGACCCGGCTAAGGTCTCGGGTCTCTAGATCACTGTTGACCCGATTTTATTATACATGCATTCATAGTTTTTGGTGGTATTTTTTGTTACGGTGTTTATCAACAATTTTAATAATTTTTTGCGACGAAGCTTAATTACAGTTTTACATAATCTGCTATTCACAAATAGATTGATTATTACACAAGTAGTTTGGTGGTCGTTTCTCCTTTTGATATCTTATAGCTTTTCTTTTATACATTTGACCTAAGATCGAGTTTTGATCAGACCAACTTCTTATCCTGTTTAACAACAAATCCAACAAGAACTAAGCCTCAAATTGAGATTCAAGTCTGTATACCAGATTAAACGCAAGTCTCCATGATCCCTAAAACGTTTCCAAAATTTGCAAGGGATCTCAGCTGGGAGCAATCAACTCAAACTGATTTTCCAACAAAGAACCCAGAAGTTTGTTTATACATGGCTTTCCTTTGGCTTTTTACAGATGAATACACCCATTCAACCACTATTAACAATGACATATTTTTCATTTTCCAAGTTTTGGAACTTAATATTTGATCAAGCAAGGTGTAGAGGCGAGTGAGAAATGATTGTCACCGAGGACCAGAAAGCTCCATTGCTTCTACCACAAGTGAAGAATCTTCTATAAAATCTGAATATCTTTGAGGAGGGTTCTCAAATGATCTAAACCTTGGGGTCTCGACCTTTTGTGAGGCTTCCCATTTCTCAGCTAAACCATCACCTTCCAACATCTTTAGTACTTCAGACATCTTTGGACGGTGAGAAGGATTAAATTGAGTACATAAAAGAGCAACCTGAACCATTTCTTCTAATTCAAATCGATCAAGATTGCCTCTAAGATACTTATCCACCATGAGATTTAGCTTTCTATCATGATGGAGCTTCTTCACCTGAAAAGAAAAGGAGCAAAGATGAGGTGGTGTTCATTATCTGAATGTGGAATGATCTCGGATCAATTTGTTTGTACTATAACAATATACTTGGAGGAATGTTCGGAATTTCTGTAACTACAGAATTCTTTCTTAACTGGAAAGTCAACAAACAAAGTTTATCATGCATTTTTTCTCTCTTTTAATGTTGTAGGAAACACCTGATGCACCATTAAGAAACAACTGTTGCACAAGTAGGTGGAAATGTGGAATGTACAATCTCAAGACACTCCACTTCGAAGTGTCCCAAATGCCAAAAGTCCACAATATAAGTGCTGAGTTCACCATGTTATCTTTCAATTATCTATTCATTGTTGCAAAAGCTAGAAGGGAAGGAGGGGGAAGAAAGGGAGGAGTGACAGAGAGAGACATTGTACCCAATCAAGCATGACGCCTTTCTGGTTTGCTGCCTTTCCAAAATCTAATGCCTTCTGACCTGTGATTAGCTCAAGAAGCAAGATCCCAAACCCAAACACATCAGTCTTTTCTGATGACTGACCTGTTGATAAATACTCCGGAGCAATATGACCAATGGTGCCACGAACAGCTGTGGTCACATGGGAATCTCTGTGATCCAAAAGCTTTGCCAACCCGAAATCTCCAACAACTGCCTCAAAGTCCTCATCCAACAAAATGTTGGCTGCTTTGACATCACGGTGAATAATTTTAGGGTCACATTGCTCGTGCAAATATAGAAGCCCCCTAGCTGTACCTAGTGCTATCCTTTTTCTTCTTGCCCAGTCCAGTGCTGGTCGGGCATGAATGTGATCTGAAGATAGAACCCAACCAATGAGACTAAATTGAGCAGACAATTTAAAAAACAGAGGGGTGGGAGGGGGAACCATGGTAGTTGAAACAGATGCGCTGAAGTGCCAGTTTGACAAAACAATGAGGTGGTTTATTTTCTAACTATACCATATCGCATTACATGAAAATCTCAACTAGCCAAAACAGTAAAGTGGGATGATATGCTAGATTACCATTTAGGATGAGAAATTCAATCTTAAAGCAAACAATGAGCTTTAGACGTGCTCATTTAAGAAGGTAAACTTATAGATAAACTTGGAACGATATCATTTGCAATAAATGTTTTCATATGGACATACTTTGATGAATGGAGATGAAAATATTAGGTAAGGCTGGATTTAATTTCATTATGGACAACAAAATTGGAAGTTAATTCTGACAATGCCAAGTTTCATATTTCTTATGTAGAGTCCTGTGGCTGCCAGGGGGTGGTGGGCAGGTGCTTGAGATTCAGTCATAAAAAGCTATGCTGCCACAAGCTAGAAAATTATGGAAGATTGTTTGGCATAATGGTGAAGGCAATCAGACAATTGGCACCTGGGAAAATCATGCCTTTAACTGTGACAGTGACTGTAGATAGGCACTGATGGTGGCAGAGGTTTCGCTGGTCCTTTGAGTCACCTCATTAGCTCGTGCACCAATGGTGTTACTTTGGTGGAGCCCAATAATGAAGTAGGCATATGATGTCAGTGTTTGAAGGTTAGTCACAAAGGTAATAATGGCATGGCAATAGCGAGGATGCCCCTTTTCTGTCAGTAGATTCTTTATGTGTACACTTGCTATATGGTTTATCACTACATTGGGGTTATAAGCACACCTCATGCAAGTTTAAGTCTATAGATACCATAAAAATTGTGCAGTGATAAACAAAAGCTTGGATTTCATTTTTACTGACCTCTTAATTGAGATGCTACACTTCCATTTGGCATATAGGGGTAAACAAGAAGCCTTTCGTTCTCAGTTGTGCAGAACCCAGAGAGCCTAAGAAGATTTCGATGAACAGCCAAACTTATTGTTTCTACTTCTGTCTGGAATTGGATTTCACCACCAGCAATGTTATAGTCCTTCAGCCTTTTGACAGCCACCAGAGTTCCATCATTCAAGCACCCCTTGTACACAATACCAAATCCACCTCTCCCGAGAATATTCTTTGAACTGAAATGATCAGTTGCAGCACGGAGCTCCTTAAATGTATACCTTCTCAAGTGGCCCAAGCATACCTCTGGGTCATATTGCTCTGACAAGCAACACAGAGTTGAGAATCCAGGTATATGGGAAATTGAAGGAACAAGAGTAAAATCATAAACAAAATGAATGAAATAAATCAAGATAATTGAAAATTGAAATAAATTTAGAAGAACTAAACAAATATAGCTAAGAAAGGTCTATTGCCTGGTCCAATGGTAAGGTTTTTGAGGTGCAATCATAAGTTTGCAGGTTTTGAACTCTAAGACTATTATAAGCAAATGGAAAATCTAAACAAAGCAGTTACTGGTGCAATAGTAAAATTCCTGGGCTTGGAATCACTAAAGTATCCAAATTCCCCAGCAACTGGACCCCACTTTTGTGTAGCCATGACTATGTTAAAGCTTCATTTTCAAAAAAAGTCCAGTAAGACATAACAGATACAAGAGGTAGGTTATCCTATGACTTCAGGTATAATTTGGGGGTGAAAGTAACGTTATATTCAATGTATGACAATCAAATTGTCCTATGACTTCAGCTATAATTTCAGTTGGGTGGAAGTAACGCTGCAAACAGTGTACAACAATCAATTTTTTCAAGGGATTATATTTATTGTTTTTCTTACTCTCAGACTATTAATACAAAAATTCATAGCTGGAGCCATTATTAAGAGTTGAGAGCAACCAATGGAATGATTTCAACCATATAATTTGGCACTCAATTTTCCAAAATACAGAGGTGACCATAATATAGTTGGTATCTTTGTTCCTTGCATTCATAGAACAACGAAAGGAAAGCTATCAAGTAAGAGATCATTGAAGAAACAGAAAAACAAAGTATAAAACTAACCATTGACGTCAAAGAAAATTTGCTGGTTGTGTCTATATCGCCACCAAACCAGTAACCCAATAATTATTATTATGGAAAAGGCAGCACCAAAGCTTGCACCAAAAGCGATAGCCACACGATGACTGTTTGTTCCAGAGTCTGATTGACCTATGAATCCAAAGAGCAGCAAAGAAATATATATGATCTATCCTTGTGGGGATAACAAAAACCATCAGAACAAGAAATTTAAGTACATGATGGGCACCTTTCATACCATCAGGTGGGAGAGAAAGAGGCTCTGGAAAGACAGAAGAACAGTTGTTACTGGCCTTGGGTCCACATATTAAAGGGTTACCCGTAACTCTGAAATGGAAAAACAGCTTGAGATTTCCAATTGACAAAAATTGTGAATGGCAAGAGGAGCAAACATTTTTCAAAGCCAGGGAAAGAATATCTCACTTGAAAGTTCTTGCTGATATTTTTGGCAAGGAACCGCTCAGATTGTTAAATGAAAGATCCCTAAAAGCATAGTGTCACTTAGAATGGTGAATAGGTATGTTCACAAAATTAAAAATAAATACATGAGCTGATTTTGGAGAAATGTTCATGTAATTGCAGCCAAACAGCAAACTGTGGGTGGCATAGGTGCAAGGACATACACAAGTGTGAGACCATGGAGATTGGACAGAGACTCGGGGCAGTGTCCAGTAAGGCCGTTGTTATTTAATCGCCTGAATTTCTCAGAAGACCACATGAGAGCAGTATGAAATTGTGTCAATCCAAAATGAAAAATATTCAAAGCATGCAGCATCTTCTGAAGAAACCAAAGTATTACAAAATTTTGAAACTCACAAGTAATTCAGGTTCTTGAGGTCCCCCAAAGAAGTGGGCATTTCTCCACTAAGTGTATTGTTTGAGAGATCAAGTGTCTGAAGCTTCTGCAGCTTGCCAATTGCAGCAGGTATTGGACCTGAAATGGCATTATTTTGCAGCAACCTACACATTTATGCAAGTATGAATTGCATTTCAGTGATATTACTCAGGAATTATGTTATCAGCATTCAGCACAGAGAAATTTTGATCACTTTTGAGAAAACTCCGAACAGTAAACAAAATGCACATTCACTGCTCAGCAAAATCTAAAGGTTAGAACTTACACTGATTGCAGATTAGCGAGGTTGCCAATGGACGGAGATAAAGTACCAGACAAGCTTTGACTGGGAAGTCCCCTGTTTAAAAAAGAATTCCCCACTTAGCCATATGGTCCATACAGAAAGTAAATGAACTATGATCCATTTTCCTGGTCATTTCCAGCAACAAACATATGAAGGATGTACATATAAAAAAATATGTGTATATACTAAAAAAAAAAAAAAAAAGGTAACTTACAAAGCAGAAACATATCCATCTGGGGAGCAAGTAACCATCCTCCAGCTACAAGGATCGACAGAATTGATATCCCAATTCTCCAGAACACTATATGGGTCATGTAAAGCAGTTTTTATGGCCACCAAAGCTACAACTGCTCAATTTTCAATTAGAATAAGAAATAAAAATCAGAACTTTGAGCTTCTCCACAAATGAAGTACCATCAATTATCCGAGAAATTTTTTCAAAGCTACAGTACTTTTATATCACCAGGAAGATTAACGGTAACCAATGAAAATACAAGGATGGTGGAATGAGAACAGTTCAGAAATCCCTTGTAGGCCATAAAAGCATTTAGTAGAAGATAAGATTAATTTTCTCCAAATATGAAAAACATTACTGTTGCAAAAACCTGCTTTTTCTGTGACAGAAGCTATAATGAGCAAGAGAAGTGAGATGAGGAAGATCTCAAGAGAAAGGTAGACTAACCTTCGTAGTTTATACCAGAAGGAGAGAGACTAGCAGAAGAAATCTCCATCAATGCCAAAACCAGAAATAACACTCTGCACAGCCTGAAACTCCTCCGACTTTCCATGGATACTTGTTTACCCTCACTTCACTCAATTTGGAAAACTCCGAGTACTCTTCTTTTATCAAAACCAGCTTGTCCACCAACCCCAAAAGCCATATTATGCTAAAATGAACTTGTTCTGTTATCCAAATAAAAGAAAAAGAAAACTCCTTCTGTTTTGAGAATCAGAAGCACATAACAATAAAGCAAAAACCCAATATTTCCAGAAGAAGAGAATGGTCCCTTTTTGCAACTCTCACTTTGAGCAAACTTCCGAATGAAACCAAAATCACTCTCTCACTTACAAAACACCCACCTCAGAAAAAGAATTCTCTCCAGAAACAAGCAAAGATAATAGTGAAGCCTGAAATTCTGAGATCCTAGAGATCTGAGAATGTGGGTTTTAAGTTTCGGTTGATCCCCACAAATTCCATGTTGGTATATTTTTGGTTTCTTCAAGCCTTGCCCTGTTATGTTCTATACTACTCTGTAATCTCACTACCATTATCTTCTCCTCTTTCCTTTTTAACACAAAACAACTATACAATCAAGCAAGCAATCTATATCTATACTATAATTTTTTCATAAAAAATAATAATAATGAATGTCACTCCCATAAATTACAGTGACTGTCAGAAAAAGAGATGCAGCCAAAAAACCAAAGGCCAAGGCTAAATGCCAAATTGGACACAGATACAGATGTAAAAGAAACCTGTTCTTAATTTGTCTTGTAAAAGAAAAACATTACTGGTACAAACATAAATAATAAAAAGAACACCACTACTAATAAGTAAAGTAAAGTAATGCTCGGTTTTTTCTTTTTTCAATTTTTATCAGAGGATTAGAATTTTTTGAGCTAGTTTACGAATAAATTGAAGTTAAGTCTTTTTTTGATGATTTTTAAATTATAATCGCTTATAGATCTAATATTATCTAGAAAAGATAAATATTTTTAAATATTAATTAAAATACAAATTTAGAAAATCAAAAAATTAACCATCTGATCAACTAATTAGGACCAAATTTGCTTAAAATTGGCTTGGAAGGAGGGAGTTTATACAAGCCTGTAATTAATTACAAACTTTGCTTAAAATTCGGTGATTGGACTGAGGGGATTGATTAGAGTACAAGAGGATGTCTTGATTCCCAAAAAGCAAAAACAAAAAAAAAATGCAGAAAAGTTATTGGCAGGTCACGTGCTTGGATTGTCATGCCGTTTGTTGGCTTTCGCCTTTGAAATTCATTTTTGCCAAAAAGCAATTTAATAATCATATTCTGTTAAAAGTTTTCTGCTGCTGGTGACCCACCTCTCTAAAAAGACACCGCATACTCGAATTGATGTTCAAGTTTTAACAGAAGGCATCTACTTTTTTATTCAATGTTTAAAAAAAAAATTATTTAGCAGCTACTTCAAAAATTAACATTTTCCATGAATTTAAAGGCATAATTTACCCTTAAATTATTAAAGTTATGGTAAAATAAGACCTATAATATCAATTTAGCATATTTAGCCCTCAAACTATTTTGAAATTTGAATCACTGATAATAGCATGTCAACTAAGCTGTAGTCTTCGATCTTAGAACAGAATCGGGGTTATATTTGTCAATAGGAATGGATAAGACAAAGGAAAAGGATGAGGAGAAAAAAAAAAAAAGATTGAACATATTATTCATCCAGTTATTTAACAAACAAACGAGGAAGATGATGAAAGTATTGAAATTACAAGTAAAAGAAAAAAATGAGAGTTAATTGATTCAAATTTACAAGATTAGAAACTATAAGAAAATAAGGGTTGAAAAGATCCTTTTAATCATTTATTGGATCTACGTCATTTTTTACCAAACAAAATAAACAGTCAATTCTTCATTTTCATCCATCCTTCCTTCCAATCCTTCATCACAAACAAATCTTTTGTTATTGTTATCATTATTGCTAGGAGGAGGGCAAAGCCCTAAACAATTACAAATTAATTATTTTAGAAAAACACAATCTCATAAATATCATCTAATAAAAACTTCAGACAACAATAAAAGTTTTTATGAGATGCTAGTATATAAATTCAAAATACCGATTATAACTAATTAACAAATTTGTATATTTGTTTTTATCTCAAAAATGTGACAAAAATAAATATTCAAATAAAGTTGTAATAACATAAAGATAGAATGCTTGTCTTGAGGTTGCTGATGGCCTCATTATGCCATAACCAAATTTTCTATCATGTCATACAAACTAATGTCCCAAGAAATCCCTCCACTTTAGGAACTGTGAAAAAAAAAATCGGATCATACATTTATGGAGATCGACTAAAAAAAATTAGAAGTAACGTTATGTGTATCGCAACTCACCCACGCTAAACTTACTTGCCAACAATCCCTTAAAACATACAAGATTGTTTCCTTGTTAATAATAAAAGTAGAACAAAGTATTTTTATCAATTAACTCGCGAATGACTTTTTGTTTGTATGTAAGAATCTTGCCACAAGCTAGTGGCCAAATTTTTAATTGGAATTAATAACGTACGACCTCCAAATCTTTGATTTCAATAACGGCATTTGGAATCAATAATAATGGGCTATTATGATGGGTGGAAAAGGGAGAGATAATGGAAAGATTAAAAAAAAAAAAAGATAACCCGTTTTTATAAAAATAAAAATTACATGTTCAATATTTTCTCTTCTAGAAAGTAATTTTTAATCCAAAGTTAGTCTTATAAAAATTGGTATTTTCAGCATGTATATTCATTTCCCTTTCCTTTTTTTTTTTTCATCACGTAAGAAAAAAAAATTTATTGGCTTGCATCAACCTTCTTTTTCTAAAAATAAAAAGAAGGGAAAAGGAATTTTTTATTTTTTTTTCAAATTGAAATATAAGGTTAGTTTGGTATTAGTTTGGGCAGTAGTTGAGCAAGCTATAAATTAGTGCCTCTCTTTTGTAAAATAAGATAAATAATTATTTTTTAAAATTAACTGTTTAATTTTTTAATCAGTATTGATAATAATTAATTTAAAATTATTTTATTTTAAAAAAATCTTATTCTATCATCTATCTTTTTATATTTGTATTTATTAAAGAAAAAAAAACAAAAGGCATGAAAAAATGATTAAGTTATAAATATATTTTATAATATAGGGACTAACTAATTAGTTATTAAAACTAAAAGGACTATTTAATTTCTTTTAAAAAACTAGAGTTCTAATTAACTCGATAGTTGTTACTTGTTAGGCAGGAATGTTTTGCTAAGATGCGCCATACAATTCACTTGCGTGGGCCCACCTGTTAATTTTTTTGGTGCATCAATCAAATCAATGAGCCGATGGACGGTTGTGATGGATTCAAAAAGCTCAAGTAAGAATTGCCTGCATAGCTCGAGATAAGAACAGCATTTCAATATCAGACTCAGATTGGTTTTGCAATTTTTTTAATTTTATTCTTATAAATTTTAAGGACTAAAATACGCGTAGTTGGAGGTGCGTGCATGGTTTGCAATATCTTGTTTATTCTTTGTTGGGTAACGCGAAGGAATCTCTAAAATGCGCTCTCGGGGACATATGACATCTGCGTTGGTCCACGTGGGCATAGTGCTGTAGACTACTCTCATTTGACCACTTAGATTTTTTTTTTTCACCTTTCTACGTATACCCTTGTGTTTAACACCTCAAAATTTAAGAAGTCACACGTACATCAAATATTGTATCTTTTTATAATGAAATAATAAAATCTAAATGAAGCAATATGTTTGACCTTATAATCAATCAGATTTCAAAAAAACATTAAGAACTAGATAAAACAATACCTTTGATTTTATAATCAATCAAGTTTTAATGAAATAATAATATTTAAATAAAACAATGGGTTTGGTTTTACAAATCAACCAAACTTAACGAAATATTAAGATTTAAATAAAATGATATGTTTAGCCTTACAATTAGTCAAATTCGACTAAACAACATGTCTAGAGAAAATGAAGAGACAATTACTAATAACTCGTTCGTACTCAACTTTAAATCCAAAGTAGTTATCGATTGCATGCTATTTAAATAAGGGATATTAATAGAATCAAAGGACAATCAACATTCAAGACTTTTTTAACACAAATTTATTTAAGTTTTCTAATTTACGCTATAATAGTTAGCTTTTACATTCTTGCTAGTTCGATAGCTTTTACGCTTTCAATAGTTTCATTATTATGATCTAGAAAGTATTGATCCGTCATTGATTATGGACAAATAACTTCAAATGTTTCAATGATTAATGATGTAAGTGTCATATTATTCAATTTATTATATTTATATTATTTCTAAGTGACTTTTGTCTATTTCAATTAACGAAATTTTCTATCTTTTGAATGTTATTTATATATATGATATAATATATATTTATATATATCTATATATATATATATATATATATATATATATATATATATATATTGGGTACTCACCGAAAGTCTAAGTTGCTTATTAGGCGAAACCAAAACCTATATTATTTTATCGCGAAATTTTTTATCATAAATTAAAGTATCGATATACTTTGCTTTGAGACCGAATTCGACGAGCAGCAACTTTTTTTTCCTAAAAGGTTTAACGGCATTTTATGAATTGTGATAAAATAAAGTTTGTATTATCATTTCATCTATACTTAAAACTATTTAAAAAAAACAAATTATTTAACAATTGCAATAAAACAGAATTGATCCTTATGAATGAAAGTTATTCAAGTAATTTTTTTTACTAATTATTAATTATACTTTTAAAAATAATTTTGAGTATGAAAAAAATTAAAATATTTAAAACAATATCGTTTTAATAATTTTATTTAACGATTAAAATTATGATCGTTAGATATAACAAGTAAGAGCATAATTTACTCAAAAAATAATAGTTAGAAATTAAAATAGATCAAATTGATTGTTCAAGTTTTAATTTGTCACAACCCGAATAATTTAGAAATAAAATATGCCATTAAACCATTTTCTTAACTTAAAACTAGAAATAATTTAGTCTAGGCATTTATTAGGGTT